CTCTCTCTCTCTCTCTCTCTCTCTCTCTCTCTCTCTCCTCTCTCCCTTTCTCTCTCTCTCCCCCTCTCTCTCTTTCTTTCAATTTCTTTATGATTTTTGGGAGAAATTCTGAAGTATTAAGGTTTCAGAGAGAAGGTGGAATCACTCAGCTTTAAAAAAACAGAGAAAGCCTCCTCATGTTCAATTTAACTAACTCAAGCTCAAGCATGGTTCTAAAGGGCAGTCTCATAGACATCTTGTTTTTCACATCAAAGTCTTCTAAAAGAGTTGTATGTTACATTTTTGTTTTGTTTTCTTTTGTTTTTGTATTTTAGTACAGGGTCTACAGGGTCTCACTATGTAGATCAGACTCGTAGTGATCAGCCTGTGTTTAGCCTCCCAAGAGCTGGGATTACAGACCTGCACCACCATGCCCAGTCTCAATCACAATCTCAGTGTGCCCTGGGGTAGGGCTGGTATGGCACACCAGTGATTGAACCCCAGCCACTGCGTCTGCCTAAGCAGGTGCTTTAATCCGCTATGCTATTTGGCTGGCCCTACATTTGTTGATAGTCTAACAAGAACCATTTGAGTATCTGTCTGTTGTGTAAATACACTACCTCTAGTTTTCTCAGTGATCCTGCAGTCCATGCCATTATGTCCATACTACAGACTAAGGAATGAGCACCAGAGACACAAAGGAACTCACTCACAGAGTGAGTGGGGTTTTCAAAGCCTTTGTTCTATCTAATTTAACATCATTTTCCAGGTTTAGATCATAGCTGCCTGGCAAAAGTTAGATTGGGTCAATGTTAAGTTTTACTGCATAAGATGAAAAGATTGCAGAATGTTAGAGCACATCACCTTACGTAATAAGGGCAAACATTTCTTTAGCATATGTGCGCATACACATACACAGATAAATTTAAGGACCTGTGAGGTCAAATATATTTTGTGGAGATCAAGACTAAGTACTGCAGTTCTCCAACTGCCTCAGCACAAATAATTAAATAATAAAATGTATTTGAATTTAATGGGCCAGTGAGATAGCTCAGCAGTCTAAAGCGGCTGCTTAGGCAAGCTTAAGCAAGCACGCAGGGACCTCATTTCCATCCCCAGCACCACATGCTGCACCAGTCCTGCCCCTGGGGCGGGGGGCTGAGCCAGCCTCAAAAAAATAATTGAATTTAAATAATGACTGTTAACGTTCACTGGACTCTAGGGGCTGGGGAGATGGCTCAGTGGAATAAGCACTTCCCTGGCAAGCCCAAGGGCCTGAATTCAATCCCCAGTTCTGCACACAAAATAAAACAAAAGACATTCATTTGACTCTTACTGTTATCAAACATTGTGGTGAGAGTTGGGTGATTCTGGGTTACTTTTCCAATAAGCCTGTCATTATTCTTACTTTATAGATGAGAAAACTGGGGCTTACACAGAGGTTCAATATATTGCTTAAGCATACACAGCTAAGAGCAGAAGGAGGATACAAGCCCAGCTCTCTGAGAGAGAGACGGCATTTGCTATAGGGATTCTCTGAGACAAAGCAGCCTTGTACTTACTCCTCATCACTTCTCTCACCTCCTGGGTGGGTGATTAAAAATATTTCACAGAAAAGACTTCGGAGCAGATTCTGGAAGAGGTGTGGTGAGTGGAGTATGGGATGCACAGAATGAAGTATTCATTGCTAACGTGGTGATGTTTTGGTGTCCGCCCAAATATGAGTGCTCTGGGTCCTTCAGAGCCAAGAGGGGGTGCTGCAGCCGGTCTGTCTGGATTCATATCCTGCGCTGCCACCTACACTGTGACCATGCGGGGTGAGCTATGTTCTCTGTACCTCAGTTACTAAGTACTTGCCTCATATGTTAAGGTTTGAAGATCAAATGAAGTTATCTCTGTGTTGGACAGTGCTGACAAAGAGCAAATAATTTCTAAATGTTGATTTACATATTTCCTAGTTGCTCTTGTGTAAGAGTCAAGAAATTACAGTGACTGCTCTTACCCTGCAGGAACACTGGAGAGGTCAGTTCTACCCGGAGAGATCCACCCTGCCTCAGATCCTCGGTAGCTATCTTTTCCCACTGGATGGACTCCATTTCCTCCATGTTAGCCAAAGCCTGGCTTAACTTCAGAGATTCCTGAATCCTCCTATAAATGAGCAGGTTGTCTTTTTTGTCCGTAGGTTCTTTCTTGTGCCACTGGCTCTTGATGAACCGGGTCTGAGTCTAAGAGAAGAGTGTGGGGAGAGACGGCATTTGCTATAGGGATTCAACCGGAAATGAGTGTCATAATAACTCGCCTCGCACCTCCCTTTGGTGTAGACTGAGGCTGATTTTCTCATTGTTAAGTGACACTGCTCCTTTGCAATCTCTCTACTCTACTTTTCTAAGAAAACCCACTTTTTCTACGGTTGAATTTCTACATGAATGTGGTTTCTTCAAAGTCAGTTTGTGCACTGAGTCTTTTTCCTGAAGAGATTTATTGTTAGAACACTCTAGGCCAAGCTAATCTCCAGGAAGAAAGGCATGATTTTATTTGCATCAGCAAGCATGCCTTCTAAAGTAGCAGTACTCTCTCCTTCCCTAAAATCTCTGACCCCTCTGCAGCCCAATTTTTCTCCTACTGTAAAGATGAGAAACCAGTAGTCCTCTTCTTCCAAGAATTTATCATACCAGGGGCTGAGCATCTGCAATCCAAACACAACAGACACATCGTAAGGTGGGTGACCAGCCTGTTGCATCTCTCTGCTTGCAACCACCTTGGCGAGAGTAGGCCGAAGATCTGGATTCTCTAAGTTGGAGATCTAACAGAATCACAAACATCAGCTCTGACCAAGCAGTAGCCACTGACACAGTCTATCTCTAAGCCTCAGAGATT